CACGATTCTGGTGTGTGTATGTGTTATCTGTGCGCACGTGTGTGTACGTGTAAACGGGGCAGGTAGTACAGCTATAGTCTAGCCTGCTGGCTTTCGAGAATGTCAGAAGCAGATGTTGAAGGGATTAAATGCCCTAGAGATGAGAGCAGAAGGATGGGCTTCCTAGAGCAGCTGCTAGAGAGAAATCAGAGCACATAGGAATATCAGTGGAATCAGTCAGCAGAAGGAGATGGATGAGTCAACAGGAGCATAGTCTAAATTAAGAACATAGACCATGTGTTGCATTAGCATCATATTTGAGCTGTGGAAGCCAAAGTCTCTGGAATGAGTTCTCTCACACCTCCGTAGAGATTAGCAGCAGAGATGAGCAGATCTCAGTAGCTCCCCTCATTAAATTTCATGTGGTTATATCCCATGCATACCCACAGTTCCCCCATATAGCCAGATAACATCTTAAAGAGGAGACGTGGAAGTAGGAATACTTCTGAAAGAATGTGCATTTAAACAGTCATCTAGGCATATGCCAACTTTCAAGAGAAATCATCCAAATTATTGAACTGGCTTGAGATTATCAGATCAGAATCCATCTGGTTTTCCTCAACACCAAAACATCCCTACCCCTCAGGAGAAGGTTAGGTACTAACTAGAAGGATTAGTTATAGTGAAATAAAGAAGACATATTTCTCTGTGTATCCAAGTGTAGTGTGAATAAACTTTCCTTAACAAATACAGCAACTATACTATGAGCTCTGACCAAGGATCACATTTTCTCTTGTTATTCACCATCTACAGCTCCAGTGTCTGCCTAGCCACTTTCTACACACTTCGGAATGTAAAGATACGTTAAAGAACTTGTTATTTTTCCTTTTGGGCAGAGAGGCAGAAACATAATTATGATTTTGAAAACTATAACTTTCACCATGATCAGAAACCCATTTCCTTTCATTTTTTCTTGGAGCTCTTATATCTCAGCCATTCCTCTTTTTCCCACCGTGTTCCATCTTCATTTCAATACTCAATTTTCCTATGTCTGTAAACATGTAAAAGTTATCTCTTTTGAAATAAAGAACAAAATTGAACTTATATGAATATTCTGCCCCTTTGGGCAATCATCCAACTTTTGCTCCTTTCCAAACTTTTCAATTAAGATTTATGGTACCTGTAGCCATTCCCTTACCTCTTTCTCTCTCTCTTTTTCTTCTCAGTTGTCTTTTCCCCTCAGTAGCTTCAGAAATCTTATCCTAACACTAAGAACTGCTCTCAGTGAGTATGGACACTACTGAGTTCCTGACGATAAATGAAAGAGCGTGTTTATAGTCTCTTTTTCTTGCTGTCTCTGGAAACCTTGACCATGATTGTACCTTCCTTATCGATGCTTTCTCCTGTCCCAGGTTTAATGAAATACATCATCCTAATTCTCTTCCCGCTCCTTGCTATCTCTATTCTTTTTTATGTTAATGCCTTTGCTTTGTTTGCTTCCTACTCACTGGCCTTTCCTTTTGTGAGGCCAGGGTATTAATGACTTTCCAAATACATTTCCACCTCCCAAACTATTAGTCATCTAAAGAGGATCACTGTGAGAGCTGAGAAGGACAGGGTTTGTGTTAAGACATCCATGATAGACTTACCGACTTAGCAACTGTGTGGCCTTAGACAAGCTCTAATCTTTCCAAGTATAAGTTTTATTATCTGTAAGAGTTGCCTAAATATATTTACGTCAAACTGTTGCTTGATGATTAAAAAAATAAACCTTAAAAGTGGTATCAATAACTGGCATATAGTATACACTAGTAAATTGTAGCAATTTTCATTCTTGGTATTCTGAGCATGTATTTTTTTTTCCCACTAAAATCATAAACATTCATCAGAGTCTTGGCTAAAGTCCTCTCTCTTTCACGAAGCATGTCCTTTCCACTCTAGATTCAGGGGGTTACTTGTTCCACTGGACAAATTTTAGAACATATATTGTCCATTAACTACATCTTAGTTTTATAGAGTATTATTATTATTTGAAACATACTTCTGTTATGTCATAAAGATGATTATAAGTACTGTCTGATATAAGAAGAGTAGATTCTTACAGTATAAGAAACCTTCAACAGTATGTATCAATTTCTTCCCTCTTGAATTTTATACTATCATGATAATTTATTTTATTTTTACATATATTATAAAACACATGATACATTGTTATTTTTTTTTAAAATAGTCAATCATGTTTTAGAGAGATTTATATAATAAGAAAATGTTTATGTACTTACAATGTAGTTATTATTTCCAATACTCTTTTATCCTTTGTGAAGACCCACATTTCTATCTGATTCTCCTTGTAACCTAACGGATCTCCTTTAGTATTTCTTGACACGTGAGTCTGCTAGTGATGAATATTTTCAGGTTTTGCATGTGTACAAAAGTCTTCCTTTTCTTATGTTTTGGAAAGATTATTTGAGTATAGAATTCTAGATTAACAACATTTTTCTTTTAGTATATTAAACATGTTACTCCACCATCTTCTCACTAATACTGTTTCTGACAAGAAATATGCTGTCGTCTTTATCTTTTTTTTTTTTTTTTTTTTTGCATGTAACATTTTTTTTGTCTCTGGCAGCTTTTAAGGGCTGGTTTTGAGCAATTCCATTTTGGTGTATCTTAGGATAGTTTTCTTTTGCTTCTTCTTCTTGGAATTTGTTGAGATTCTTGGATCTGTGGATTTAGAATTATCCAGTTTGGAAGATTTTTCAACCATTATTTCTTCAAATAATTTTTCTGTGTCCCTTTCTTTCCTTTCTCCTTAAGGATTCCAATTATGTGCATATCAGGCCACTTGAAATTTCTCTCAGTTCTCTAATACTCTGCTTGCTCATTTGAAAAAAAAATCCCTTTTAGTTCTGTGTTTTATTTTGAATACTATCAGTTATTATGCTATAAAGTTCATTTATGCTTTTAATGCTATTGATTCCATTTATGTTTCATCTTATGCATCATAGTTTGCCTCTCTATATGTTTAATTCAGACATTTTCAGTAGCTTCTGTGTCTTTATTGAACTATATAGAATATAGTTTGCAAAAGTGTTTTATTTTTATTTTTAGGATGGGAAGCTTAATTAGGTTTACTTATTTATTTACTTTTAGAGGAGGTGCTGGGGATTGAACCCAGGACCTTGTGTATGCTAAGCATGCACTCTATCACTGAGCTCTACCCACCCTGCACCCCCCACAAAAGTGTTTTAATGTCTTTGTCTGCTAATTGCAACATCTGTTCTGAGTTGCTCTCTATTGATTATTTTTCCGCTCATTATAGGTCATGATTTCATGCCTTTTTGGCAAGCCTGGTAATTTTTGATGGGATGCCAGACTTTGTGAATTTTAACTCACCAGGTGGTAGATACTTTATTTTCTTATATATATTATTGACCATCATTCTGAAATACAGTTAAGTTAGCTGGAAACAGTTTGATCCTTTCAGATGCTACTTAATATTTTTTTAGGTAGCACAGGAATAGCAATCAGTCCAGGGGTAACTATTCTGTATACTGAGGCAAGTATACTCCTCCCAAACACTGGTGAATAATTGGATTTTTCACTTCTGGTTGTTAGAACAAGCATTTTCCCCTGCTCTATGTGGGCCCAGGGCACTACTACGTCTAGTTCTATGAGGGCAGTTACTCTCTGGCCTCACGTTATTTTCTAACATACATTTGCTGGATCCTAGACAGGGACCTTTTGCAGATTTCTGAATTTCTGTCTCTGCTCACTTTCTCCAGTACTCTGCACGTGGACTCTTACTAACTTGGTGTCGCAGACTCTCAGCTCTCTGTCCTCACTTTCACCTATGTTCCCCCTCACAGGACTGGACATGCTCTCTAGCCAGTAAGCTGGGGGCAGTTATGAGGCTTATCTCATTTGTCTCCTGCCTCTCAGGAACCACTTTCCTTCATTATTTGATATTCATTGTCTTGAAAACTGTTGTTTCTTGTGTCCTAGCCATGTTTTATTTTTTCAGGTAGGAGTATCTTGACCTGTTACTCCACATAGACCATAATTATAAGTTCTGTTCAAATGTGTTTTGATTTATCCTAGTTTGTAATCACTAAAGTGACTGAGTGGGGATTTAAAATGTCATTCTGGCTGAAAGTTAAATTTCTATTTCTTAATATAAATTTGTATAATTTAGAAAAATTTAATATTGTACGCATAGAACACACTTACGTATCTAAATACACACACACACACCTACCTATCTTTATATATGTGTAGTCTTCAACTTGCATAATATATTGCTAATTTCTTCAATCATTCATTTGTTCATTCATTTATTCACTTTTTAAGTATACATTGAATAGTTCCTTTGTGTTGACCACTCTGATAAACATGAGGCATACAGCACTTAATATATAAAAATTTTCACCATTCAAAACTTTAGTTTAAGGTAGAACAAGCTACTTAACTTAATAAAGCAATATAGCTCATTCTTTTTATTTCCCTCATAGATCCTAGTATATTGTAGGCCTGCAGATAGTTAAATGTTCATTGAAAATGTAACTTTAAATTTAAAAGAGAATTCTATAGGAATGAAGTTCTTAAATTCTAATAATCTGTATGTGTATATGTGCACATATGTGAACTTAGAAACAGGGATTGCCTTATTATATATATATATCACTTAAGGGTTTGAAATATTTTTTAATATGGATAAAATTAGCTTAATATTTAAGATATTCCCTCTAATGCCACCTCCCATGCATCCATGCCCTTCTAAAATTCTTTGGTTTTGCATGTATTTAATGATGCTTAATTAAATTCAATATTTTTAAGACAGAACTTCTCTTATGAAGATATAATTTCAAGTTTAATGGCCAAATTTTTAATTTATTTTATTTCTTAAATCATCTGTTACATACATGAAATAACTTTGTGTCAAGGTGACAAATTTTTTTTAGTTTTTTTTTTCTAAGATAAAAAACATTTGACTGTTAGGTTTTTCATAGTTGATTTAGCAACTCTGTCTTGTAGTCTTTCCCACAGATCTAATATATAGTTTTGTGAATAAAGGAAACCACATAGTTACTCTATGAGGCATTTCCAACGATGCAGATCTATATAGAAAAAGCAACTTTGGAATAGACCTCAACTTTTTTTAGTTATTTCTGAAAGTGAATTTTTCCTTCTTTTCTGTGTTCTAAGGGTATATATATATATATATATATACACACACATATATATATATATACACAAAACATGTATAAACTAATATTTTTCTTCGCTACTATAATGCATTGATCATTCATGTATATTAGTTAAAGTTTCCATTAGAAGTATAGCAAAATACAAACGAAATCTCTCTATTCATGGCAGTTCTAATATATCTTGTCCGTAATTGTGTCACTATGGAAACTTTAATGTATTTATACATGATTTAGATGCAATGTAGTTACATCAATATGATTATGGTTATAATTATAAATATCCATATACATTGCCTTTCTATTTCTGAAATTTTAAACAAATTATCTTTTTAAAAATTTTAATTTCAAAATATTCATATAAATACCAAACTAGAATCCACACTTGAAGTTATTTTCGTCCTCAGAAGCTACTGTTTAAATTGGAATTGCTATTTTTATAATTACATATAGACACATACACATTATATATGTATATAAATATATACCAGCTTCACAACTTCCTTTAGTCAAATCTGTCTAAGATAATATGAAGACAGTGTGATTTATGTGCATAATTGGGATGACTCAATTTATTACACAAAACTCATTGTATGTCAGTGAAAAATGGATTTGTTTATTTTGCTATTATTCAAGGACATCTTTAAATAAAACCAGGACACATATCTCTAAATGTAATGCAGACTTCATAATTAGGCATATTTCTTTTTAAGTATTTAGTAATAAAAATGTAAAGTATAAGAATATTTTATATTAGTGTCCGATGAATCCTAGTATTCTGCTAATCTAAAACTTGTATCTTCATTTCTGTTGAAAGCTACAGTTAGTTCTCACAATATTTTACTTTGTTTTATTTTTCTCCTGTCTTTCGCCAACCTTAAAAACATCAGTTTTCCCTTTTCTAAACTAATACATGCTGGGTTTCTTTGAATATGCTCATCAGGAAGTTTAGTCTGACATTGCTTCTTATGTGCCCCACTTTAACCCTTAATTTCAGATCCAGCTGGAGTTTTTAATGTTTATTTCACACAATTACATTTTTATTGTTAAATGAAAATTTATTGCAGTAAAAGTGATTTCTTCCCTTATAATAACAATAGAATGAATTTCATATACAATCTTAAAGTATATACAAATATTGTTATTCATCTTATCACAGTCATTTTTGTGAGGAAAGTAGACAGCAGAGTAGAAATCCCCCAGCTCCCAGGGATTTCTCCTGTGGTCGTATTAGTGCTTCTAAGAGCCCCTTTCATCCCCATGATACATGACCATGCCTGAATGCTCCAAAGTTCAGCATTAGTGACACAAACTGAACCAATCATAAATTCTCACTTGTGGGTTGAGATTTATACAGAGAGATATAAAATTAGACTTGGAAGCTGATTTACCTAATAACCATGCTCCTGGGTGAAGATCCCTAACGCCCACTGCCTTTTGCTTCAGAACTTTCCTAGCTTCTCAGGATTCTTTCTCTCTCTTTCTTTCTCTCTCTCTTTCTTTTCTTTTCTTTTCTTTTCTTTTCTTTTCTTTTCTTTTCTTTCTTTCTTTCTTTCTTTCTTTCTTTCTTTCTTTCTTTCTTTCTTCCTTTCTTCCTTTCTTCCTTTCTTTCTTTCTTCCTTCCTTCCTTTCTTTCTTTCTTTCTTCCTTCCTTCCTTCCTTCCTTCCTTTCTTTCTTTCTTTCTTTCTTTCTTTCTTTCTTTCTTTCTTTCTTTCTTTCTTTCTTTCTTTCTTTCTCTCTTTCTTTCTTTCTCTCTTTCTTTCTTTCTCTTTCTTTTTTTTCTTTCTT